CCTTTAAACTGTGTGTGCAGGAGACTAGACACTTGACTTGAAGCAGTGCAGTGTTATTTCTAATAAAACTCATAATTCCCCAAAGTGCACTTCATAAATATTTCATAAAATTCAGGTGAGCTTTGGACCCCTTAATTATACTTTGATGTATGGTGTTTAAATGTTTAGGGATCTGTTTGGTGTGAAATTTTGAGATATTATCTCTCAACTTTTTCAGTTTTCTCATTAAAATAAATCCAGTGAGAGAAGGTTCCTCTCTATTAACTTGAAAATCTCATTAATCTGTATCATGTCACACGTTTTTGACATAAAGATGTGTCTGCGATAGGCTTGAGCTATTTAACCGATAACAGAACTGCATCCATCATCACTACAAAACAAGTACATAGAATGAAAAATGCAGTGAAAATATGTCCTTATGCTACAAGATGGGACCTTTATTGGCCATGCTGTTGTCCTGGTCAGAAAGTGCAACTATGCTTGCAGTAAAAGGCGACCATGCTTGTCGTAAGAGGCGACTATGCTTGCAGTAAAAGGCGACTATGCTTGTCGTAAGAGGCGACTATGCTTGTCGTAACGGGCAACTATGCTTGTCGTAAGAGGCGACTATGCTTGTCGTAACGGGCAACTATGCCAGTCGTAAGAGGCGACCTTAAAGGATCTGGAGGTCATTATATAGCTGGAATAGTGTTGAATTCAGAATCATGATCTGCGTCTATTTTTATGATATTGTGTCCCTTGGTATGTATTTGTTACAGTGAATAACCGAGAAGATTGCCATATTGACATGGATAGATGCTCACAATATCAATCACTGGATTGTCGAGTCCAGATTCAATTATTTACATTCTGTCTTCCTGTAGCTCTAATACTGAGGAGTTTGGTGTTAGACAAACAGATAAATACAAGTCCAACATTTATACTTGTCAAAATGATCAAACATTCAAATGTGATTGCTGAAGGCAGAACTGTCATGTCAACTTATATCTCAATCATATGAGGCAACTAACGGGGCCGGGTGGTCAGGCTTGCAGACTTTGTTGATGCATGTCATCGTATCCCAATTGTGTAGATCGATACTCATGATGTCAATCACTGGATGGTCTGGGCCAGACTCGACTATTTACAGACTGCCGTCATATAGCTGGGATATTGCTGAGTGCGGCGTTAAACAACAAACAAACAAACAAACAAATCTTAGGCCCGTGAGGCCAGCTGCTGTCCGCCCACCATATTTCTTCTTCTTCTAAATGGATGGGGTGGTCACACTCGATGACTTGCTTGGTTTTGTATCCTAGTACCTCATGATATCAATCATTAGTTTGGCTGGTCAGGTCTGGATTATTTACAGGCTACTGTCACATCGATGCAATATTGCTGAGTGTGGTATATAAAATAAGATGTGTTTTCTTCATGTCTTAGACCTGCACAGATTTCTTACATTGGGTGTGATTTGTTTATTGTTCTAGATTTTCTCCATCAGGTTGTTGCATTGTTAAATGAATGGGAGTGTAGGTACAATCTGATTGGCTGAAAAACATTGTCAACTGGAACTGAATCTGGGAAAACTTTCAGTGAGTGAGTGAGTGAGTGAGTATGGTTTTACACTGCCTTAAGCAATATTCCAGCAATATCACGGTGGGGGACACCAGAAATTGGTCTTGCAATTTCGTTTGTTCCAGTATGTTAACAGTAATTGAGATTGTTCCTTCATCATGAAAATTCAACTTATCTGTTTCTTTAAGTGTCCTTTTAGTGTTTGCATGTTTGCTAAATTTTGAGTTGAATTTATATTTGTTTTTAATTAACCTTTTTCAATAAGTTTATTGTGTGTGTGTCTGTGTTTGTGTCTCTGTGTGTGTCCGTGTCCATGTGTGTGTCCGTGTCTGTGTGTGTGTCTGTGTCCGTGTCTGTGTGTGTGTGTGTGTGTCTGTGTCCGTGTCTCTGTGTGTATGTGTCTGTCTGTGTCCGTGTCTGTGTGTATGTGTCTGTGTCCGTGTCTGTGTCTGTCTGTGTGTGTGTATCTGTGTGTGTCTGTGTGTGTGTGTGTCTGTGTCTGTGTCCATGTCTGTGTGTGTGTCTGTGTCCATGTCCATGTCTGTGTCTGTGTCCATGTCTGTGTGTCTGTGTCCATGTCTGTGTGTCTGTGTCTGTGTCCGTGTCTCTGTGTGTATGTGTCTGTCTGTGTCCGTGTCTGTGTCTGTCTGTGTGTGTGTGTCTGTGTGTGTGTGTCTGTGTGTCTGTGTCCATGTCTGTGTCTGTGTCTGTGTCTGTGTCTGTGTCCGTGTCCGTGTCTGTGTCTGTGTCTGTGTCCGTGTCTGTGTGTCTGTGTCTGTGTCCATGTCCGTGGCTGTGTCTGTGTCCGTGTCTGTGTCTGTGTCCATGTCCGTGTCTGTGTCTGTGTCCATGTCTGTGTGTCTGTGTCTGTGTCCATGTCCGTGTCTGTGTCTGTGTCCATGTCCTTGTCTGTGTGTCTGTGTCCGTGTCTGTGTCCGTATCTTTGTGTCTGTGTCTTTGTGTCTGTCTGTCTGTGTGTCCGTGTCTGTATCCGTGTCCGTGTCTCTGTGTGTGTCTGTGTCCATGTCCATGTCTGTGTGTCTGTGTCCGTATCTTTGTGTCTGTGTCCGTGTCCATGTCTGTGTCTATGTATGTATGTCTGTGTGTGTGTGTCTGTGTCCATGTGTGTCTGTCGGTGCCTGTGTGTGTCTGTGTACGTGTCTGTGTGTGTGTGTCCGTGTCTGTGTGTGTGTGTGTCTCTGTGTCCATGTGTGTCTGTCGGTGCCTGTGTGTGTCTGTGTCCGTGTCTGTGTGTGTGTGTCCGTGTCTGTGTGTCTGTCTCCATGTCTGTGTGTGTGTCTGTGTCCATGTCCGTGTCTGTGTGTGTGTGTCCGTGTCTGTGACCATGTCTGTGTGTCTGTGTGTCCATGTCTGTGTCCATGTCTGTATGTGTGTGTGTGTGTGTCTGTGTCTGTGTGTCTGTATCCATGTCTGTGTCTGTGTGTCTGTCTCCATGTCTGTGTGTGTGTCTGTGTCCATGTCCGTGTGTGTGTGTCTGTCTCCATGTCTGTGTGTGTGTCTGTGTCCATGTCCGTGTCTGTGTGTGTGTGTCCGTGTCTGTGTCTGTGTGTGTGTGTCTGTCTCCATGTCTGTGTGTGTGTCTGTGTCCGTATCTGTGTGTCTGTGTCTGTGTGCCTGTGTGTCTGTGTCCATGTCTGTGTGTCAGTGTCCCTGTCCGTGTGTGTGCCTGTGTCTGTGTCAGTGTCCCTGTCTGTGTGTGTGTCTGTTAGTCTGTTTGTCTGTGTCCATGTGTGTGTGTGTGTCATCCACTCTTCAATCATTCACTGAGTCTCACTGACCAGAATATAGGACACATGAACACTTCTCTCAGACATACTTTCATTCCAATTGACATTTCAAATATATGGAGCTGTGATGTACTTTTCTGCAGGCTTGATGTTAAACGAAATCTAAGAACAAAACGCTGCAAGGATAGTTTGACAGTTACGATGGTATTACTTTCCCAATTCCAGGTCGTACAAAGAATAGCTGGAATCATTAGCATTATTTTCCACTCTACTGATCCTTTCTGTCTTCGTCATTGTCAGCGGAGAAACGGTTTAATATCAGCGCCATGATGAATACACCATCGTCGATAGCTAATCAGTCTCTCAGTGGCTTTGGACAAAAGCTCGGACAAAACCTTGTCAGTCGCCAAAACAACAACTCATTTTAAAATTCCATGCACACAATGACAGTACCTTTTTTAATGGAACCAAGTTTAGAAACACAGCTGGTGAAACAGAAAAAATGGTCACATTTCAAAATTGTACATTTCATCAAAAAGCTGTTTTTCCAGTTCTTGATTTTGTTGTGACTGAGACCGGCTTTCACATACATATTTGCTCTCAAGAAGACCTGAAAGCTGAAAGCACATTTGTGGCCTTGTAAATAACTCCCAGCTTTGGAAGCATGGGAAAAAAGCCTATGATGCAGAGTCGCAACCCAACATATTCTGATGTTATTTGGCCATTAGCTCCCAAGTCCTGAAAGATGTAGCACTCATTCTGTTATTTGAAAGATAACCTGGGCAAAACATATGGATTTATGTTTCATCATTCCTTTCATGTTGTGCACAGCGTCCTCGATAGATCACAATGGCTTGTGGTTTATTTGTTGTTAGTGTAATGAATTTGTGCCTGTTACTTCTCCAAACACAATCAGTACGTTGGGTGGAAATTTTATTGCACCTTACACAAAGTGAGGAGTGTTGTTTCATGCACTGTTTTGTCAAAGGAATCGCTGTTATTACCATGATGAAACTCTGTGATGTCCCCCCCCTTCTCCACACACACCCCCCTCCCCCTCCCTCTGTGATGTACCCCCTTCTTCACATCCCCCTCCCCCTCCCTCTGTGATGTTCCCCCTTCTTCACATTCTCCCTGCCTCTGTGATGTTCCCCCTTCTTCACATCCCCCCTCCCTCTGTGATGTTCCCCCTTCTTCACATCCCCCCTGCCTCTGTGATGTTCCCCCTTCTTCACATCCCCCCCTCCCTCTGTGATGTTCCCCCTTCTTCACATCCCCCCTCCCTCTGTGATGTTCCCCCTTCTTCACATCCCCCCTGCCTCTGTGATGTTCCCCCTTCTTCACATCCCCCCTCCCTCTGTGACACACACACACACACACACACTAACACTAACACTAACACACTAACACACTAACACACACTAACACACTAACACACACACACACACACACTAACACACGCACTAACACACTCCTCCTCCCTCTCTCCCCCCAATCCTCCCCCCACCCACCCACCCCCAAATTCATGCACGTCATTATAAGCACAATAATCTTGAATGAGATGACGTAAACTCCATGTCACCACCCTCTGATGATGTTGTATTTGAGGTATCTCATTTTCTTATGATTCCCAATTTGTGATATTTTATGATTCTAAGAACCTTTTTGTATTGTAATGGAATGTTTTATTTTCAGAACTGACCGTTAAAGGACAAGTTTCCACAAGAAGCATGTGTATGTATAAGCCAAGATGTTACTGTCAGTGGTCACTCTGTTTAACTGATACTGTCAGGGATGAAGTGTAGGATCCGTAGCTGAGCTGTCTGCTGACCAGTGTTCTGACAATACTTGCTTATGCAGCCATTTTCTGGACATTGCTGATATGGCTATTAGCCGTAATTGTGCTCATGTCCTTGTTTGTTTGTTTGTTTGTTTAACACCGCACTCAGCAATAATACAGCTATGTGACGGCAGGCTGTAAATAATCGAGTGTTGACCAGGCAATTCAATGATTTATATCATAAGCATCGATCAATGCAGTTGGGATACGATGACATGCATCAACCAAGTCAGCGAGCCTGACCACCCGATCTCGTAAATCACCTCGTACGACAAGCATAGTCGCCTTTTACTGCCAGCATTGGTTGCTGAAGACCTATTCCACTCCAGATCTTCACGGGTCCCATGTGCTGGCATCAGCACTTGTCAGTAGTAGCCATATCATCAGCATCAGCTGATGCCCAATAATGGCAAAGCCAATTTTTCATTGAACAATTTAAGATATTAAATATTTTGCAACAGATTGCAGTCATGTCAGCGTTTGACATTAACTTTCACACATCCAACATGACAGTGACCTCAGGATGGGAGATTTAATGGTGACACCTTTCATGCAGTTATCAATTATAAATCTGTGATGTGAAATGTTTTCTGACCAAATGACCCTATTAGAGACATTTCCTCTGGCCTCATGTTTTGTGAATGATTTCAGGGATTATTTTGTCACGACAGTTTGCCTTTAGAATTCAAATCTGAAATATCACACACACACACACACACACACACACACACACACACACACACACACACACACACACACAAACACACAAACACACACACACACACACACACACACACACACACACAAACACACATCGCTCGTGAACGAAATACTCTTGGACGCGACATTAAAGCCCATTCCACCTCACCTCAGGGCGGTCGGGTAGCCTAGTGGTTAAAGCGTTGGCTCGTCACGCCGAAGACCCGGGTTCGATTCCCGACATGGGTACAATGTGTGAAGCCCATTTCTGGTGTCCCCCGCCGTGATATTGCTGGAATATTGCTAAAAGCGGCGTAAAACCATACTCACTCACTCACTCCACCTCACCTCATACTGGCCAGAAACAAAAATATCTGAAAACACCCAAGCAAGTCTACATTTCTTCACTTTCTGAAATTGAACAGATTCTCTAGGTTCATTTTTTTTATAACAATGAAATATTTATCATTTCAGAGACTAGATTTTTATCAAATAGAAATGTCTTTTCTGTATATATACTTCTTAATAGAATAGATATCACCCGATTTTTTCATGTGACTCTAATTATCTGATTAACTGTAGTCATATGAAAAAGTAAGGCATTTTTTTATGTTCTTCTAGCAGTATCATGATTAAAAAAGGACTTACTGTTACAAAAAGTTTCTACCACTGACTTGGAATGCAATGACCATGTTTTCTTGTGCTCAATGCTCACTTGTTTCTATTATTGCTGCTGTGGATGTCTTTTGATGACTTACACGATATATTCCCTCTACTCCTCCCACACCAACCCCATTCTCTACTCCCCATGAAAGTAGGCCCTGTGCTTCCCATGTAGACTTGCACTTAATTGTCTCAAAGCAAAGTGCAAAGTGCATCTCTCACTGTCGAGGGCACGGGTGGCCCAGTCATCTAAGGCCATGCAATTCACTGTGCAGAGTTGTGTCCCTTTGGCACACCAGAAACCTATGATTGTAGGTTCGAATCCCGGTTCGCCCCAATCATGTTTCTAGGTTTGTCAGCACCATACCCGTGCTTGTGGGTTTCACCGAAGTGGTAAACGTCTGAGACCTGCATCACTTTGGGCTTTCCTCCCAAATTAAGCTGACACGCCGTTATATAACTGGAAATACTGTTAAAAGCGGCGTTAACCCAAATCACTCACTCACTCACTCACAGTCAGCTCAAGTTCAAGGAACTATTATATCATGAATTGGACTGCAAAGGAAATCTTTCACAAGTAATATGATATTTTAAGCTTTTTTTACTTGATCTTTGATGTTTAACCTCAGTAGACAATGATGGAGCTCTTTTCCTATCAATTACTTTGATGATGGACCTATTTGAATATAAATATAGCTACAAGTCCCTTTCCATATCCAATAGAAATCTCATCTTAAAGTAGAATAGTACGATTCCGACTATATCATGAGCACGTGTTTATGAATCACTATCATAAAGTAATGATACCAGGTGTTCGTGAAAAGGTGAGCATATCCTGCCCTACCAGTGGCACCCATCACAAACACATGCAAAGGCAATTCAATTGCTCACTTGAAAAGCACAGGAACATATGGTACTAGTCAAATAGGGAATTGCATCAGAAATCATTTTTGTCACCGATGCGTCAAATTCGGAAATGTCCTGCACATGTCTTTGTTGGTTGGTTTGTTGTTTTACGCCGCACTCAGCAATATTCCAGCTATATGACGGCGGTCTGTAAATAATCGAGTCTGGACCAGATAATCCAGTGATTAAAATCATGAGCATCGATCCACGCAATTTGGACCGATGACATGCATCAACCAAGTCAGCGAGCCTGACCACCCGATCCCGTTAGTCACCTTTTACGACAAGCATAGTCGCCTTTTACGGCAAGCATTGGTTGCTGAAGACCTATTCTAACCCGGTTCTGCACATGTCTACCATAACACATGTTACCAGTCCACACAAAAAGCAAGTCTTCTGCAACCGAGACATGGATAAATTCTGTGGAAAAATGACATATTTACTAACATACAGACTCATAGTTCACCCTCTATGAATAAACATTAATGTGTTTTATTCCTTTTGTTATTCCATAGAGAGTCTTTGTCATTCAGTATCTTTTCATCAAAGGCAGAGTTACAGATAAGCAACATATTTGCGTAAAATGGCCTCCAAAAATATTCAAAACCCAATTACTTTTAATCAACTTGTGTACAGAAACGCATGCATTAAATGAAGAACTCAAATTATAAAAACAGCTCGCGTAAATACCCAATGAAGCTTTTGCGGCATGCGTACAAAGGAGCTAAATTCTGAAACACAATTACGAGCTAATTTACTTTCCGAGTCAAGCCGATATATTTGGAACAGTTATATACATCTAAAACATTATTTTTTTAATTCTTAAAATGTTCACTATGATGAATACATGAGTGAAAACATATTGGTTACCCAATAAAAAATCTAATAACCCAATTAAAATTCATGTAGAAAACCTTGAGTAAAAACTCAATTGATCAAAAAGTTATCTGGAACTCTGAAAGGACATAAACAGATACACAAAACAGTACTCTTTCTTAATCAACAGAGGCCCATCAGTTTGGGGAAGTTATAATTAGGTGATAGATAAATGTGCTTGAGTTGATCCTGGTGGAATTGTATACTTGCCCTGGACATGAATTTCATAACCCAAAGAGTCACCAAAGAGTGAGGTGCCCGTGCAAGGTGCACAGGGAACACATTTGCCATGCATCGTGACGAGGCAACTCACACAGTGTTATCACAGTTGGGCATAGACCTAAGCAGAACCGGGTTAGAATTGGTCTTCAGCAACCCATGCTTGTCCCTGTGAAGAACAGGGTTAGAATTGGTCTTCAGCAACCCATGCTTGTCCCCGTAAAGAACCTAAGTTAGAATTGGTTTTCAGCAACCCATGCTTGTCCCTGTGAAGAACAGGGTGAGAATTGGTCCTCAGCAATCCTTGCTTGTCCCTGTGAAGAACCTGGCTAGAATTGGTCTTTAGCAACCCTTGCTTGTCCCTGTGAAGAACTGGGCTAGAATTGGTCTTCAGCAGCCCATGCTTGTCCCTGTGAAGAACTGGGTTAGAATTGGTCCTCAGCAATCCTTGCTTGTCCCTGTGAAGAACAGGGCTAGAATTGGTCTTCAGCAGCCCATACTTATTGTAAGAGGTGACGGGAACGGGGGTTCAAGCATGCTGACTTGGTTCATGCATGTCATCGCATTCCAATTTTGTGGATTGATGCTCATGATATCAATCACAGGATTGTCTAGTCCAGGCTCGATTATTTACAGACCGTCTCCATAAAACTGTAATATTGCTGAGTGCGACGTTATCAAATTCCCCATTTCAACAACAGCACCACCTGAACTCATGTTATATTCATTATTGTTCATTTCACCATCATCAAATACCTTTATAGATGTCATCCTATTGTTGTAAGATTTCTTCAAATAGTTGAAAAAGCACAAAGTCAGTCACTAGCATCCATGGTGGGGGCATTCCGGGGAATGTTCTTGACCTTCCGGGAGCATGCCCTGGACTTTCTAACATAACTAAACAGTGTTAAATCACCAAAGATTTATGAACATCCAATTAAAATGCATCTAATGTTGATTTATGGCTGGTTAAAAGTCACAATTTTCAAATGTCACTGACTTCAGTTGCTTGCATGCTGCACGTGGTCTTTCTCTTGCCCGCTGTCTTCATTGAAGTTATATACCACGACCACTGCATTTTTTCTCTATAATGTATCCCAATGTTGTTGTTTTTCTATGTTGTATTTGGGCCAGTCGGGTAGCCTAGTGGTTAAAACATTCGCTCGTTACGCCGAAGACCCGGGTTCGATTCCCGACGTGGGTACAATGTGTGAAGCCCAATTCTGGTGTTCCCCAGTGTGATATTGCTGGAATATTGCTAAAAGCGGCGTAAAACCATTCTCACTCACTCACTATCTTGTATTTCTTGCATTTAGATAGTTCATAAGTTAGCTGGGGGCACGGGTGGCCCAGTCGTCTAAGGCGCCGCGATTCACTGTGCAGAGTTGCGTCCCTTGGGCACGCCAGAAACCTATGATTGTGGGTTCGAATCCCAGTTCGCCCCGATTATGTTTCTAGGTTTGTCAGCTCCATACCCGTGCTTGTGGGTTTCACCGAAGTGGTAAACGTCTGAGACCTGCATCACTTCGAG